GTGAATGAATAGTGGTATTGTAAAGCGCTTTGAGGGGTCCCAAAAAGCGCTATATAAATGCAATCCATTATTATTACTATTACATATATATCTATATATCGATATATCGATAGATAGATAGATAGATAGATAGATAGATAGATAGATAGATAGATAGATAGATAGATATCCCACAGCTTATATTATCTGTGGGATATTTTAATATGCTTAATATGCCTGGTACTAGGAGATCAAATCCAAGGTCAAAGTAGAGGTCAAAAGGTCAAATAATGGTAATATCTTAAAACCTGAAATCTGACTGCTTTTTTATGAATGAATTAAAAGAGAGTCCATTTTTTTCTTTCTTTTTTTTATAATAAGAAAACCCCGGTTGAGTGCTTTGTCATGCAATATCATTTTATTACAAAAAACATTTTTGGTCTTTTTTTTAATCAAATCTCCTCAAATGGCGATGGCATACTCCCTCACTTTATGTTCACCCTCCATGTCCATGATTCAGCACATCACCAGTACTCACACAAACAGAAGGTGACATTCATTTTAGCACCATTCCTTATCAAGAATGTTGATGACAAACTCCCAAAACAACAACATAAGTCTAATTCTGATAAATGCACAAAGAGCGCTCACAGCATATAAAAACAAGTGTGGTTCCACCAAACACAAAATGACACTTAATTAAATTTATTTACAATAAGATGAATGAAATTTAAAAGAAAAATCTATTTTAAAAAAATGTAAAGTGGAGTGTGTAATATCATAATAGTCCTATGACACTTATCTTTTATTTTTCGTACACTTTTATTTCAATGTCCTCAGACATTTTATCTAATCAGAGGGACTGACTGTTACTTTCACTTAAAGCAGTTTTAAAAACATTTGCAGTCAAATGCTACATTTGTCACATAAGATCCTGTTAGGATCAGTTATTGAAACAGAAATCTTCCACATTGTTGAGTTTGATCGTCTGTAGCTCTTGGCTGTCTAATAGCCTGTAGCTGAAAGACACGCGGTTGACAAACTTCCCGCTGGACACCATCCTCACCACAGTGTTATCACAGCCAATCTTCATGTGAGCTGCAGGTAGAGCAAAAGGAAATCTTAAGTCTTGACTGGTGTTTTATTTAAAGAGAAGGGGAGGCAGAGAGATGGTGTGCACTTACTTGGTCCAGTGAAAGCGATGCAGAGGTCAGTAATGGGAAGCAGCTTTGATGTATCAATGCCATTTCCCCCCAGCAGCTGTACAAAGTCCCCTGATTCTGCACATCCGGGCATGGATCTCTATGGAAATCAACATAGAGTGTGATACAAATACTAACTAACAAATACTAAATACTTATTGTGCAAAATAAAGGTACATATAGTGAATTTTTAAGGACAACATATACTATGAGAATATGTGTTTTTTAATAAAAATATCCTAAGATGAATTATTTTAAGTTTGTAAAAAAAAATGTCCTACCAAGCACACTTTAAAAGCTTTTTACCTTTTTTTTACGCTGATGTTATTCTGTTTAGAGCTGAGAGAAAGCACAGTCCGGTGCCATTTCATCTCTTGGAGCTACACGTTGTTGTGACTCTCATTTAAATCCCTCCATAACTGATTTGAATCTTATGCCTTATATACCTTATACCTTAGTATGAGATCTGAATTTGCTATGATTTTAGGGGTCTGGTCACTTAAAAATCACTAATATTCTCAATGCAAAAATCACTTTTTACTTAAGGTTTCAGTTGCTATATAAACTGAGAAACCCTGTAACACTGTATTTGAATAGTAGCAAACAGTGTGGAGATGAATTAAAAGCACTGAGGCAATATTCAAGGGTGTTTAGTGACTTTCTTTACCTTGGGGAGGTGGTTGTAGTGGCCCAGGCTGAACTCTGAGATGCTGATCTCTACTGGATATATGATGGAGAAGCTGCAGTTTCTGTGCTGCTGTGGGATCGCCATTGTGTAACTGCCCTCTGGTGACTGTGACATGACATTGCAGGCTGCAAAACAATAGAGAAGGGTGGATGTTGCAAATATGATCACTTTGATGGATGTTCAGATAGAAGCATAGGAATGTACACATAACCTAAAGGTTGGGGTTGTACATGCATGATTCATATATACATGGTGTTAAAGTGCCTCTTCAATTTGTTGCATTGAATGACAAATGTCAAAAGGTCAAAAATAATTATATGCTTGTGGTCTGTTACACAAGCATTTTTCAAAGCACTATTTCACTATTATTATTATATCTAATTAGTAAAGATCAGGTAGTTTCAAAGAAAATGAAGAAAACTTTAATGCCTTCACTGAGGTCAATCTCAAAAACACTTAAAAAGCAGGTTCATCATCTAAGTTGCCCTTTCCTTTCATGTTACTGTGGGAGAGCATTTGCAGCCTGTCCTTGGTCCTCATCCAGGAACACAGTGGTGGAAAACTGTCCACTAATGGTGCAAGTGATGACTAAAGCACCATGCCATTCTGCCAGTATCACCACTGAATTACACATTAATTGCAGTGTAAATGGGCTGAAAGCTCAAATGGTTACGTTTACGTGCATGCAGGGAATTTTAGAGTTTAGTTCTGAAAATGATCGTCTACATACGAAAGGGGTTGGTGTGTTTCCTGACTGTCAGGGTGAAGCTGCTGCCGGCACTGTGAATGCGGAAGAAGACCATGGCCACGTTCTGAGAAGAGCGCACGCTTTTCCTCAGCGATCCAGAGTCGCAGTAATCCACATAGCGCTCGAACAAAGCCAGTGGGTGATCGTGGGTGCTGGGAAACTTTTCCCCTTTCATCACCCAGCCGTCGAACACCTTGATTAAAAGACAGAAGCTTTAAGTAGAATTTTATATTTAATCACAAATTATTTCTTGATGGTTTTACTAATGATGAGAAAGAATATTAAACTCTTTAGGCTGAAACTTAACCAGTATGCAATCAATGGGGAAGTGATTTTCAGGTAGCTCACCTAAAGGAAGCAGGTTTGTGCCCAATTACTTTATGTTTAAAGAGCATTTTGTCTAATTAGGAACCAAGATAACAGACCCCAGTATTTGGTGACATGGAAACACAGAGCAAAAGCTTTATCACAAAAAGTCTATGTCATTACCTGTAATTATACAAAAAATTATGCAATAAAATAAAGTTTTAAGCCTTTCAAGCTCAACGTGACCAGATGTATCTACCCATCTTGTGATATTTTGCTCAATATAAGAGGAGGGGAAAGGTGTTTCACGAGAAGCGCTGTTAGCTTACAGTGATGAAGTCTCCTCCCATGCAGTCAATGTCAACGCTGTCATAATCCACACTGATCACTTCATTGGGCTCTGCCATGAAGAAAGCGGCACAGCTGAGCTGAGGGCGCTCTGCTGTGAAGGTGAACTGGCCCTCCACTGCAACCATGTCCAGACAACCTGAAAGGCATTCCAGGAAAGAACTTTGCCAACCAAATATGAAAAAATATAAATAAACGAAGACACATTGATCTACTCTAATTACAATTTATTATATTTATTATCCTTTTTTAATATAAATATCTTTTTCTGCTGCGTTTTCATTCATCCTCTACATTTCAGCTCTTTTAGCCTATTGGTGTTTATCCAGAGCAATTTTGTTAAAACCAAAATTAAGAGACAGAAAACAAGTCTAATTTACCAAAAGTATACACAAACGCTACTTCCCCTTTTATCTGTTCTTCAAACGCATAAGTTGCAAAAATTAAAAAAAAACAAAAAAAACCAGCATAAACCATCAATTATATGTTTATTTAAAATTTTATAGATAGGTGTCACGTGACTTACGTAAAGGTCGGCGATACATCAACTCTTCGGGCATTTCTCTCTTGAGTTCCGAGTTGAAAAATGAATATAATTCATCTTTTGTGATTTCGTTGTTCTACAGAGAGTGGGAGAGAAGTTTGGCGCGTCATGTTTGTACCTTTGAATCTTCTAAGAAGTTTCTGTATCTGGCCGGACACTTACCTCAATATACCTGGAGTCTCCCTTGAGGACGGACAGGCACAACACCAGAAAGAAGAGCTGCTCCCGGAAAGTGCGCTCCATAACGCGCATCTCTGTCTGCGAGGCTCACCTGAGCGGAGAAAGTCTGAGCTCCTCCGCGACAAGCGCTGCTTTTTATAGGAGAAAATACTGTAAGAACCAAGTGACATGTTCGCCCACCGTGGACGCCCTCCCCTCCCATACAATCCACTCCTTAAGCAGCCAATTGCGTAGCTGTGACGAGAGCAAGGGACGAATGGATGAAAAGACAAAGACAGAAAGGGAAAAGCTGATCTTCCCTTCCCACTCATCTTCCCTCAAAGCGACTCAGGTAGCTGCTGCAGCCCTCCCAGACTCATACCGATCATTAAACAACTCACATTGAACATGTTTGCCCTCTTCTCTTTGTTCTAAATAAAAAGTGAAACGAGTGATGCATGCACAAGGGCCTTTTACACTGTGTAACAAACAGGATATTAAATCCTTTCAGTACTGTGCAAAAGTATTGAGCCACACCTTTTAGAATATTGTATAGGATTATTGAACACAGGTGCAATGATCTATTGAGAAATGTGAAAACACACGCGAACATGAACTATATAAGACAAAAACATAGTTGTGCATCGTTGTTATGACCACCCTTCATGCTTTCTTGCAGTTTCTTTAAATAGTCTTCAGAATTAGCTCAAAAAAGTTCTCCAGGATTCTCAGAGGACATTCAAAGCTCTTGTCTGAATGTTGGTTACCTTTTCTTCAGTTCTCAATATTGCTACGGTCTTGGTTCTTCAGTGGCCAATCCATGGTCCATGACTTATATGACTCATATGCTTTGCAAATGGTATTGTATGGTGGACTGGAATCTGTCTGTACTTTACTACATTAATAATTCCATCAGTTTTGGAAAGATCCCCAACACAACAGGCTGAAATGCATCTCTCTACCGTAATAGAGAGACATGACATTCCTCAAACTTTTTCTCCCTGTACAAAAATAAAAAAAAACGTTTAGCTCCTTGGAGCAAAATGCAAAAAAAAAGAGAAAAAAGCTGAAGACTTTTGCACATTATTACACATTTTAATTTTTACCATTTTTAAATGACTTTAGATGCATGTTTGGAAATGTTAGGCATTGCCCATTCATTATAGGAAATATTACAATTTTAAAAGCATGACTTCTTATATGGTGTTGTTAATCAAAATACACATTCATTACTTGAGCTTAACTGAACATGACCTATTTCCCCTTTCAGCTTTATGGATACTTTCATTGATGAATCAGAAGTTCATACACAAACATCTGTAAGTGACAAGTTAAAGCACTGTTTCTTCGTGGGACAAAATATTAATGATGGCAGTTATCTTTTATGAAAATAATGTGACACACTGAATATTCTTTTTTCCTTTTACAATTTCTAAGACTTATGTCAATAAACTCTAATTGAAATTTTATTTGGGAGCAAACAAGAAATGATTATGCTATCAAAACACCCGGACAAGCATTAGAATATGGATGGATGGAAGTCATTTAAATTGGTCATTTAACTGGTAATGTAACTGTACCATGAAGCAGCAAATCAACTCCATGGTGGCATAATACTACCAACACCATGCTTGACATTTGTACAGTGTTCATAGGTTTGAAAGTGTCAGTCCTGGAGCAGGGCCTTCTTTCTTGGTCGACACCATTATAAATGCAAATAACTTGAACTTGCGGTTCTTAAACTGATGATCTTGGAATCTGCAGTTGGTTAGAAATGACTCCAGGAGACCTTCCCAGTTTGTATAAATCTACAATTCTTCTTAGGCCTTCACTGAAATTCATTGTTCTTGGTACTGTTTAAAGCAATAAGCACTCTAAAACAAATCCTTTTTTCCCTGGCAAAGAGAAACTAACAGTTGTAGTCAACCATGGCCTTGGCCTTGTCAAGGTAAAAGATATTGTAGAACCTTCAATGTGGGCATCCATGTACTTGCTTGTTTTTTGTGACCATTCAGACTTGTCTGCGCAGAATTTACATTAAAATACATCAACTACACATGCATCCAGGCGGTGGACATCTAAGAAGCATAATAGGAATGATTACTCAACTCTCAGGTTTCCATGTCTGCTTCTGCAATGGAGTATAATCATAGCATAACTAAAATAGCCACTTGTTGCAATCAGAATATGCACAAGAGCATCTCTGAATGCACAAAAAAAGATTGGATTAGCTGGTCTGACAAGTCTAGGTTTTTACTGTGACATGCTTTGTATCACGCTGCTGGCAGTGGTACAATTGTGTAAGGGATTTCTTTTTGCATATTCTGGACCCCTTAATACCAACTGAGCAATGTTGAGACACCACAACCTACCTGAGTGTTGTTGCTAACCATCTGCATTCCTTTATGAATACAGATAGTGCTGTTGAGGCATGGTGCTAGTCCTGCAACAGACTTGTGGCCTGTCCAGGATGTACCCTGTCGCTTTCTTAGTGTCAGCTTTGGATAAGTTGGATAAGGACTGAAGAAAATGAATGCAAAAATCAGATCATTCTTACTCTGGACTGTTTCAATGTATGCAAAAACCGTCTGTACTTATTAGTAGATTAAGCACAAATATATAGTTAAACTAACAGTGTAGCTTACACTTAACTCAAATAATAATGTAGAGGATGTCAAACACAACAGAAACTAGATTAACACAGGCTGAGACAGAGGACGATTGTCTCTGTTTCTGTCTCACAGCACAGTTGTTTAATGGGAAGTTTATACCAAAAAAACACTGATTCATGTAACAACCTTCAATGTTTTCCACACCATTCACTTCTCACCCAGAGTTCATTCACTATGCCTGCCTCGTGTTATATAGTCATAACAAACCCTGGGGGCTTTCAGCACTGTAGTCTGACTTGTTTTTTAGGGTGAGAAAACTCGAGGCAAACACAAACACCACCCAGTGTCTTAAAATGTCATCCTAAAATTTTTCATCCAAGAGAAACTCATACCATATAATTAATATGCTTTAACAGAAAAACAAATTACATTTGTAAAGAATGTTTGCTTATTTTCCGCGTCTGAAAAGGCATATTCACACATTATTTGTGTAAAGTGCAATACTGCAGAGAAAAGTTTCAAGTTGCATTCTCATTAAGAGTCAAGGACACAGAATACTTGTATCCCACCTGTCTGGGCTCAGTCCCTGAGGTCTGCAGATGCCTCTGGCTGTTGAAAAGGTCAATCCATTCTAATGCCGGTGTAATCCACACTCAAAACAACATGTTTGTTTCTCCAAGATAAGACTATGTTTAAAGAAACTGAAAAACGTATTACCGTATTTTCACACACCCTTAAGGCAAATCGAATTTTTATGTATGTTTTTGCAATATAGCATTTGTAAAAGTAATTGCATAACTGTCCCCCCACTATTCAAGGTTATTATTTAAAAAGCAAATATAGTAATATATTGATATAAACAATATTATTTTAATAATAATGAGAGGGAATACTTTGTTTTCTGAAATACTCAGACCAGCCTGCTTGATACCAACAACAATGCCACTTTCAAAGTCACTCGAATCATCTTTCTTCCTCATTCAGTTTGAACTTGTCTTGATGATGCCCAAGAGGATTGGATCGCTGTCTTGGGATTGGTTGATTAGATATTTATGTTAATGTTGCTTTGAAGTTGAACAGGCTTACCTGTGATGGGTAACTGTATACGATATTCCTACTGCAAGAGATTCAAGAAGATGTTTTGTGCATTTGGGTTTGTTTTGTTTTTTTCTAAATTCTTCTCAGTGATTTGAAGTAGTCTGTAAGCAGCATGGTTTGGCTTTTAAAGTTATCCATACAAAACAACTATGTTGGCTCAAACTACAGATTGTCAATGGACTATTAGTTAAATGTTATGTAAAGGAATTAGTTATATGGCAAATGTCATTAAAGCTAAAGACTACCATCCAAACTTAATGAAGAAACCAGAAACCTTGCTTTTTTAAAAGAGCATCATAGAGATATGCAAGTTAAGTTTTATTCGGTGAGATTTTAATTTCTCCTGACAGAGATGATAAACATCAGTTTATAAAAACTCATCATCATGCTGACAAAATAAAAGTTTAATCGAAGTGCCTTTCAAACAGTAAAGGAGCTGAGTTTACTGTGTCTTTACTCTCTTGTGAGGCAGAGCTGTGGTCAAGCTGTTGCTAGTCGGCTGTATTACGCTTAAGTAAAAACATAGAGGCTAAAATGCAAACAAATGAAATCTTTTTCTTGCTATGCATATTGAACAGGCACACACCACTTTTTTAAATGGAGTGTAATAAACAAGCTTTTATCCTTTGTTTATTATTGTAAATAGTAATAAATGTCAAATGCTATATGCATCTCACCTGGTAGCTGGGACCTAACTGCTAACAAAGGCAAAGTGTTTTTCATTATTGTAAATATACTGTGGCCGTTTCTATGGTAGAAATTTTACATGCACATAATTAGCAGGGAACATATATTTTCAAATACACTTTGCACACAAATTGTTATCGTTCTAGCATTCTAGCAATATATCTTCTGTCACTTTTAAGCCATGTGTGGAAAAGGTCTTTTGATGAGCTAATTAATCTGAGAAGATTCTGGCCATCTGAGGGATTCTGTAGCTTTTCATTTGGCAGTAAGACTTTTTGCTGAGTAGCAGGGGTCACTAAGCGTAGATGATGTCCATCGAATTTACATAAAAGATGGACTTAGTATCGGTTCCATCCGTCCATCCATCCATCCATCTATCCATCCATCCATCTATCCATCCATCACTCTGTCCAAAAACATTGACACAGAACAGAGGAATGCTGTGTACACAATGAAATGGCAAATTATTAACAATAATAATTAGAAGGGCTTTTGGAAACCTCACAAACCTCAACCTCAACAAAGCAAATGAGCTATGGCAGCTTTAACGATCCAAACCAAAATGTACTGGGTTCTGTTTTTGCTTGGTCCCCATTTTTCTTCCAAGTTTCACGACACCAGCTCAGTGGTTTTTCAATAATATCCTTGACAGACAACAAAGCACTGAAAACGTACAACGACAAATGCAAACATTAACAAGAAGTGCTTAGAAGCTCT